ATATTTGTGTTTTGGGAGGGGGGTTGGGTTTTTTTTTTTTTTAGGGAAAGGATCTATCTGCCTCTTCGCTCTACCACAGCCAGACATTTCCTAGCATGTGTCATTTTGGGATTCTTTCTTATTTTCCCCACCCTCTTTCCTAAGCAAGGAAAAGAAGTACTTACCTTTATTCTCCCAGAATTGTGTGTCCCCCTAGATTGAAGAATCAATAGAGTAAGAACTAGTGAACAGATAAAAATAGCTCAGTCCTTCACAGCTTCCTTTGTAATAATACAAATAGGAGACAAATAGGAGAAAAAGGAAATGCTCTTTATAAATGGTATGAAGTATTAAGTATGGTGCTTGCTACCTGCACAGAGAGCAGGCATGAGATTGGTACTTGGTGTTACTCACACTCCCTTAGGCCACTACTCATTCCCACCATTTCAAAGCCTATGGGTTGAGTAGATTCTTAGAGAAAGGTGACTTTCCTGACCTGAAGAGATTGGGCCTGAAAGCACAAGTTTCTTCTGATGCTTCCTAGACACTACATACTGGAAAAGACAAGGGAATAGAGATGCTTCCTTTTCACTTGTGATCCCTCTTTCCCTTATGTGTCCAGCCTTGAGGGGGAATGTTATTTCTACTCATCCCCTACCCCCCCTTTAAACAAAAAAAAAAAAAGAGGGCTTTAGTTTCCTCGCTGGAAAACATTCCAGAATGCCACTCTTCCTTTTCTCACCCTTCCACCTTCCTAGCATCCTCTCTTCATGATCAGTTAGGACTGGGCTAGGGGTGGGTGGGATGAGAAAGGTTAGAGAAAGCTGGGAGTTCTTCCAGTAGACAGAATGCCATTAAAATAATGCATTAGGAATTCCTCATAGACCAAGTAGAGCTTAGTTTAATTTCCTCTTCTGTAACTGGAATCTTAGGTCATAGGAATGACTTCCCAGAGTTAAAAAATAAAAAAAGGTGCTGGCAGTAGATAAGACTTTTGATCTGAATCAAATCTAAGTTGAAAGTCTAAATCTTTTCATTTTACATTGTCACTTGCATGGAAACTAAGTATACAGAAAGATCTTATTGTTTGTAAATATCACTGTGTTCCAGGGGTTAAAAATACTTGAACAAAGGGGAACAAGAATGGCCAGCCTTGCCGTCCCACCCATTCTTTATGTGGACTGTGTCTATTCATAAGTTCTCCACAGTGAAGCAATAAAAACTCCTGGAGTCTAATCATTTTCTTTCCTGATGACAAGATATCTTCATCCAGAAGGCTCAACCGTTGACCAAGAGCTTCACATTTCTTGGAGCCACCAGGGAATAGAAACAGCTTGTATCTCAGGGCTCTTCTTGGGCATGTGTTTTTTGGGGTTTTTTTTGTTTGGCTTTTTTTTTTTTGAGTCAGAGTCTTGCTCTGTCACCCAGACCGAAGTGGAGCTTTCTCGGCTCACTGCAACCTCTGCCTCCTGGGTTCAAGCGATTCTCCTGCCTCAGCCTCCCAAGTAGCTGGGACTACAGGCGCATGCCACCACGCCTGGCTAATTTTTTGTATTTTTAGTAGAGACAGGGTTTCACCCTGTTAGCAAGGATGGTCTCAATCTCCTGACCTCGTGATCCGCCTGCCTTGGCCTCCCAAAGTGCTGGGATTACAGGTGTGAGCCACCCTGCCCAGCCAGGCCTGTGTTCTTTACTGCACACAGCAGAAGTTAAGTGAAGGCTTTTCTGTCCCAGTGAAGTAAAGGAACTCTTTCCTGTTTTCAGGGCATTCCTTTTAATGTCAAACATAGCAGCTGGGAAACAAAGTTTTCCCAGAATCACAGTGTACTTACTGCATTCTGTTTAAACATGATCTTGATAGTTACTATTAATATCTATTTCCAGAAATTTCAGGGCTGTAATTTTTAAAATCAGTTGCTAAGTGCCATTACCATAAATGAGTTTGATCAGTGTATTTTGTGTGTGGTAGATGGGACTACTCAGTCAAGGCTTCTCTCCCCTGGCTGACACAAATTAGATCTTCCTAAACAGGGGAAGGAGTGGAGGCCTCACATACAGTACCAGTCCTTAAATGTTCATTTCACTCCCTCACTGTGAGCATCTTTCAGAGCTGCATTCAGGACCAGTACATTTGGATTTGAAAAGATAATTAGGAATGGCACCCTGGCGGAGGCATGGTCTGTTGGCAGCAACAGCAGTAGCTTGGATGTACCTCTTGTTACTTCACCAGCTAGATGAGCTACTGGAGGTGGTGGAGGTGGGCAGGCCTGAGGAGTTTGAATGGAACTCCAGAGGTTTGTCTTCCCTTTAGCTCAAGGTTTTGTTCCTTTTTCTTGCATTCTTTTTCCATTTAACTCCCACTAATGACATGGAGAAAACCTGCTGAATGTAATAAAATGGTTTGTTTGCCAATGCTCTTGGTTAGCTTTAAGATAATTGTCTCAGGATGCATTTCCTTAGATAAAATGTGAAGTACTTCATGTGAATCAGCACCCACATTCCATTCTCAGAAGTTAGAGGAAGTCAGACTTCAGACAGCCCCTAGGAATCACAAACCTAGGGCTTCCATTTCACATCTGCAAATCAGAAAGGGGCCATGCTTGCCTAAGACCATACAATTGGATCTCCAAGCTCCCAGCCGCTGGCTCTTTCCACGGAGCTATCCAGCCTCCACGGCAGTGTCCCAGACTCTTCAGTAAGCTTCCAATAAGTAGATATTTTTATTTTGAGTAATGCTGAGATACAGAAATCAGATAAGTAACATTTTCAAGAGCTGCTTAATTATTTTGCTAAAAGCAGAATCATTAAATTCTCTGGGTCAAATAATCTTTATATATCATCTCAAACAACAGGCACAGTTCTTGACTTCTTGCATCATGAGAAATCATTGTTTTCTTGTGCTTCATCCACTTTGGATGGGATGACAACATAAGGATGTGGCCTCCACAGACAAGTTGGAGTTCAACAGGTTGATTTCATTAGATACATGATTGCTCTGGATTTTCACAAATGAGTTTAGCCTGAGGTCATTCTGGCAATTTATGGTGACCTCTCCATTTGAGAAGCAGGTTATTTGTAAAGATGCCCTGTTGCTGCGTCATGATAAATGATTATGGGAAGGGTAATTAGCCATTAGACAACGTAGGGCGGGGGAGAGAGAAACTAGTTTCCTTTCTGAATGCACTCTTTAGATTCAATGAAAGGAGACTGGTTATCTATAAACACCACCCAGAACTTAATGGCTTAACATAATGACGTCTATTTATATCCTGAGTCTACAGTTTGGGTGGGGCTTAGTGGGGATATCTCATCTCCGCTCTACTCAGCTCAGTGCCACTGGAGGTGGAATTAGCTCATGGCTCCCTCCCTCACAGGTCTGGTGGCTGTTGGCGGAGACTTTCACTAGACCTGTGGCCAGAGCACTATCTATGCAGCCTCTCCCATATTTGGCCTGCGCTTCCTCAAAATGTGGTGGCCACATTCCAAGGACAATTGTCAAGAGAGAGAGAGACAGGCATAAGCCACCCCACTTTTGATGACACAGTCTTAGAAGCCACGCAGCATCTCTTCTACCATACTGTTTGTCAGGGCAGTTACAAGGGGAAGGAAATAGGCGCCACCTTTTGATGCGGCATAGCAGACTTCTGAAGAGGATGTGGGGCCAGAAATACTGCTGTGGTCATTTTTGGAAAATCCAATCTGCCACAGAGACTGTTATCTCTTACTTAAGTAACTAGAGAAGCTAATAATGTGACACTGACCTGAAGGAACCTTATGATGCTTTTTTAATGTTGCCTCACAAATGAGAGGGAATCTGGGTAGATGAGGCAATGTGAGGGTGAGGTTAAGTGCTGGTGTGGGGAAGAATGCTACATGATGTAAGCCAGGTGTGTTTGCAGCAGTGGTGCTTTCTAGTGATTCACCTAAGATTTAGCTTATACCCTGGAACATACAACATGACTATCTGCCAGTTAGCATCCACCCAGGATATCTTCCATCAGACATCAGCTTTTCACCGGGGTCCCTTGGACTGTGCCTGGACTGTATCCAGTTCTGCCATGGTTTACACCTGTACTACATTCAGTTAAAAAGCTCTACAGAGAGAGACGGTGCGGTACCTAATTGTGTTTGTGGCCCTGGGCTTCCTTTTTTCTAATAGTTGTATTGAGGGCCGGGCGCGGTGGCTTATTCCTGTAATCCCAGCACTTTGGGAGGCCGAGGCAGATGGATCACCTGAGGTCGGGAGTTCAAGACCAGCCTGACCAACATGGAGAAACCCCGTCTCTACTAAAAATACAAAAATTAGCCAGGCGTGGTGGCGCATGCCTGTAATCCCAGCTACTCTAGAGGCTGAGGCAGGAGAATCGCTTGAACCCAGGAGGCGGAGGTTGTGGTGAGCTGAGATCGCGCCATTGCACTCCAACCTGGGCAAAAAGAGCTAAACTCCGTCTCAAAAAAAAAAAAAATAGTTGTATTGAGGTATAGTTGACATATAATAAATTGTGTATATTTAAAGTTTACAATTTGATAACTTTTGACATACATATACATATATGTCACATATATATACCTGTGAAAGCTATCACCACATGATAGACACACCATCACCATGAACATTTCCTCTTGCCCCTTTGTACTCCCATCATCCTGCTTCTCCCCCACATCCCCCATCCCCACACAGTGACTGATCTGCTGTTGCTGTATATTGTTTGTATTTATTATAATTTTATATAAATATCATCGTAATGTGTACAATTTTAGGGGAGTTCTGGCTCCTTTCACTTAGCACATTGAGATTCATTCATGTCATTGTGTGTAACCGTAGCTCATTTCCCTTTTTTCCCTGCGTGTTAGTCCATTTTTTGGGTATGCCACAATTATTAAGCCATTCAGCTGCTGGTGGACATTTGGATTGTTTCCAGTTATTGCTTATTGTAAGTAAAACTCCTACGAACATTCATGTGCAGGTGTTTGTATGGTGTCTTAGTTCAGACGACTGTAACAAAGTACCATAGCCTGGGTGGCTTATAAACAACAGATATTTATTTCTCACAGGCCTAGAGATTGGAAGTCTGAGATCAGGATGCCAGCATGGTGGGATTGTTATGAGGGCATCTTCCAGGTTGCAGACTGCCGTCTTGTGTCTTCACATGGTAGAGAGAAAGAGAATGAGAGAACTGTCTGGGGTCCCTTTTAAAAGCACACTAATCCCATTCATGGAGACTACCCTCATGACCTCATTACCTCCCAAAGAACCCCAACTCCCTATATTATCACATTGGGGGTTCGGATTTCAACATAAGAATTTGGGGAAGGCCGGGCGCGGTGGCTCACGCCTGTAATCCCAGCACTTTGGGAGGCCGAGGCGGGCGGATCACAAGGTCAGGAGATCGAGACCACGGTGAAACCCCGTCTCTACTAAAAATACAAAAAATTAGCCGGGCGCGGTGGCGGGCACCTGTAATCCCAGCTACTCAGGAGGCTGAGGCAGGAGAATGGCGTAAACCCAGGAGGCGGAGCTTGCAGTGAGCCGAGATCGCACCACTGCACTCCAGCCTGGGCGACAGAGTGAGACTCCGTCTCAAAAAAAAAGAATTTGGGGAAAAAGGAGTATTCAGTCCATTGCATATGCGTATGGACATCTGAAAAGTGGACTAGCTGCTGGATCATGTGGTAGGTGTAGTCTTCCAGACTGGCTCTACCCTGTCACTTTACCACCAGCAGTGAAGGGGAATTCTAGTCCTTCAAATCCTTGCCAAGACCGTGTGGTCAGCCTCTAGACATTCAAAAGATGTGTAGTGCTGTTTCACGGTTTTAATTTTGCAGTTGCCTAATAACTAATGGTATTGAGCATCTTTCCACATGCTTATTTGCCACCATATATCTTCTTTGTTTTTGTTTTGTTTTGTTTTGAGGGATTTTTTTGAGACGGTCTCGCTCTGTCACCCAGGCTGGAGTGCAGTGGTACAGTCATCACTTACTGCAGCCTTGAACTCCTGGGCCCAATCAACCCTCCTACCTCAGCCTCCAAAGTAACTGAGACTACAGGCATGCACAATCACACCTGGCTAACTTCTGAATTTTTGTAAATAGGGTTTCGTCATATTGCCCAGGCTGGTATCAAACTCCTGGGCTCAGGTGATCCACCTGCCTCAGCCTCACAAAGTACTAGGATTACAGGCATGAGCCATAGCACCTGGCCAGAAATTCTTAATTTTAATGACATGCAATTTATACATTTTTTCTTTTATGAAGCATACATGTTTTTGTGTTGTAAATAAAAAATGTTTGCATAACCCAAGATCACAACGATTTTCCCCTGAAAGTATAATTTTATACATTTGGGTCTCTTCCATTTTGAGTTCATTTCCCAGTACGATGTGAGGTGTAGATTGAGGTGAACTTTTTGCCCTGTGGACTTAAGTTGGGAAGATTGCATGTGATAGAGTGAAGGATTTAAGAGCACCTTTAAAACAGCCTGGTCACGCTGACACATACTAGATGCCCCAAAATACCAGAGAGGAACTGAGGGGAAAGGAAGAGGACATGTCTTCTCCAAGGAAGGGATATTTCATCAGGGTCAATGACAGCTGCTCCAGAAAAGACAGAGGAAGAAGAGCAGATTTGTTTAAGAGACATTTTCATGGATTGCAAAGGAAAGGATTTGGGGATCCACACTTTTTATCTCAGTACTCTTCAGAGAAAATAATTTTTTTTTCTTTTTTTGAGATAGAGTCTTGCTCTGTCGCCCAGGCTAGAGTGCAGTGGCGTGGTATCAGCTCACTGGAACCTCTGCCTCCCAGGTTCAAGCAATTCTCGTGCCTCAGCCTCCCAAGAAGCTGGGATCAACAGGCATGTGCCACGACGCCTGGCTAATTTTTTTGTATTTGTAGTAGAGACAGGGTTTCACCATGTTGGCCAGGCTGGTCTTGAACTCCTGGCCTCAAGCAGTCCATCCCCCCTTGGCCTCTCAAAGTGCTGGGATTACAGATGTGAACCACCACGCCTGGCCCAGAGAAAATACGGATGAGAAAAAAAAGGCTTTGATCTTCTTGGGCTGGATGTTAGACCTCAAGTCATCAAGTAAGGCACAATTCTGCTCTTGGCCTTGGGTGTCAAATGACAGAGTGATTCTTTGGGTTTATACCTCCTGCAGGGAACTGTCAACAGATGCATCTTTGCAATGCTAGTTCTCTCCTTTAGGCATCTAAACTTGTGGAAAATTTTCTTTTAATGCTTTAAACCAGTCATGAAATACGTACTTAACACTTGCTGTGCACAACCAGAGAGGTAAATACAAGGAGGAATAGAATGCAGTCTAGAGCATGAAGAACTTTCTGGTTTTTTGTTATTGTTGTTTTTTGTTTGGCGTTTTTCTTTTTTTTTTTTTTTTTTTTTTTTTTTTTTGAGACGGGATCTCGCTCTGTTACCCGAGCTGGAGTGCATTGGCTGACTGCAACCTCCGCTTTCCAGGTTCAAGCAATTCTCCAGCCTCAGCCTCCTGAGTGGCTGGGATTACAGGCGTCTGCCACCACACCCAACTAATTTTTGTATTTTTAGTAGAGACAGAGTTTCACCATGTTGGTCAGGCTGGTCTCGAACTCCTGACCTCAGGTAATCCACCTGCCTCGGCCTCCCAAGTGCTGGAATGACAGGTGTGCCACCACCCCCAGCCTCAAAGAACTTTCAAGATTAATTCTGAAACATTATTATTTCCAGGTCTTTTAAAATTATGCCTTTTCCAGGGAATAACCTTTTCAACACTCCAGTTTGTGATTAAAAACACTCATTTACTGTACTGCATAGAAATTGAGTTTCACGTGGCCTCTGTACTTCTGCTGCCATTGTGTCCCTCCACAGGGTCCTCAATGCTCTTTATCTGGCTGTACCCTACTGTGTTTTAATTCCAAGGCAACAGCAAGAAAAGCTGGTAACCAACTCGTATGTAAAATGAAACCCCAAAAAATAAGTATGGGGTCAGGAGTAAAGTGCCATGCAGGGCTGGTGTGCTTGAACACTGGCTCTTCTCTGGAGTCCTGGTGACAGCCCTGTCAGTCACTTTCTTCCATATTTGGTCCAAAGTAAAGTATTTTGTGGTTTCCCTTCATTATTTATTGCGCTAAAGGAAAAGTAAGTAAACCATTGAGCACTGAGTTGAGGGCTCTGGAGAGAAGTACAGGAGGGTGGTGCCACAGGTGTGCACCTTTTTTAGTTGTTTTGCCATTTTCCCTCTGCCAAAACAGTATCTAGTAGGTGTAGAAACTAATACACTGACAGATTGAAAAGAATGCTTCAGTTCCTGCTGTAAGCAATAAAATAAGTTCATCGTAAGGTGAGCACACTATATTGAGCATCTCTTTCCTGATATCATTTCCTTCCTAAGCTGCTGCAAGACCATGGTGCATTTCACATCCAGACTGCTATACTCAGATGGCCTGGATGTCCCAGGTCAGACTAAATGCACTGCCTGTGATTTCAGAAATAGGAAGTGTTGTGCCAGGGAAGACTAGTTGTCCTTCTAGGCTCCCATTCTGTCTCAGCCTGTGTCAGGTGCTTGGAGGGTGAGGTGTGTGGGTGATACTCCTCTGAAATACCAGTACCAAGAGACTAATGATGCATTCAGAAAGTGCATAAGGTTTCACCATCAATGCAGTGGTCTAAATCTTGCTCTGTGTTAAATTAATAAAATACTATAGTCTCAGTCTGGTACTATATCCTTTGTTATAGGTTGTATTTTTCAAATATTAGTATTTGAATGAGTCCAGATACATTCTTTGCCCATCCTGTCTGCTTTCTAAAGTGTCCTCATATATTTTAGCAGACCTCATTTTTAGAAGTGAAGCATGTTTTTTTCTTTCTTTCTTTTTTTTTTTTTTTTTTTGAGATGGAGTCTCGCTCTGTCGCCCAGGCTGGAGTGCAGTGGCCGGATCTCAGCTCACTGCAAGCTCCGCCTCCCGGGTTTATGTCATTCTCCTGCCTCAGCCTCCCAAGTAGCTGGGACTACAGGCGCCCACCACCACGCCCGGCTAGTTTTTTGTATTTTTTTTTAGTAGAGACGGGGTTTCACCATGTTAGCCAGGATGGTCTCAATCTCCTGACCTCGTGATCCACCCGTCTCGGCCTCCCAAAGTGCTGGGATTACAGGCTTGAGCCACTGCGCCCGGCCTTCTTTTTTTTTTTTTTTTTTTTTTTTTTTTGAGACGGAGTCTCGCTCTGCGCCCAGGCTGGAGTGCAGTGGCCGGATCTCAGCTCACTGCAAGCCTCCCGGTTCACGCCATTCTCCTGCCTCAGCCTCCCGAGTAGTTGGACTACAGGCGCCGCCACCGCCCGGCTAGTTTTTGTTTTTTAGTAGAGACGGGGTTTCACCGTGTTAGCCAGGATGGTCTCGATCTCCTGACCTCGTGATCCGCCCGTCTCGGCCTCCCAAAGTGCTGGGATTACAGGCTTGAGCCACCGCGCCCGGCCTTCTTTCTCTTTAAATTCTCTGGAGTTTGCTTCTGGATGCAGTTTTCTTACACCAGTATGTTATTCAGCAAACCTTTGTTTGCCTAAAGAGTGTGCGAAGTTTACCGTTCAGCACTTGGTCAAATTAAGCTCACCCCTGAGCAGCCTAAGAGAGAGAAGCAGAGTCATATAAGTGCAGTAAATTGCAGTCCACACCCTGGAGACCCTGTGACAGAATTATCTGTGGCTGCTCGCGGAGCCATCAAATCTTCATCTTTGGCACATGGTAAGATGTCCTGAAATTTGGGGGTACTGACTAGAGAAAGGGACTCAGGAACCAGCATAGTTGTCTTCTGGTGTTCAGAGGCCTCTCCTGGGGCCAAGGGTACAATCTTGTGTTTCACACTTTTGTGTCGTAGAAAGTGGAATCAACACCATCTCAGGGGCAAAGAGCAGGGATTGGGGGAGAAGAGGACAGGATGTGTTGAGCTTCAACTGGAGGGCCTTACAGATGTCATTTTGTCAAATCTTCCTCATTCATTATTTTTTCCATTGTGCATATGAGAAGAGTGAGACTCATACAAGTTAAAAACGGTGTGCTCACAGTCCTACAGGCAGTACGAAGTGCCACCAACAATCAAAGCACAGATCCATGGGACTTTGAAACCTAGGATACTTCAGCGACACCACTCTGCTTTTCCAGTGATCTACAGAGACATGGCTTTCCAATCAGTATAAAGAATTTCCAAGGACTTAAAATGGAGGAGGAGTCAGCCTTGAGGAGTCAGCCTTGAAGCTTCTTCCTGTAACCACAAGGTTCTAGCATAAACTAAAGAGGCCTTTCTCAGAGAAGGCATCTGAACAGGGTTTCTTTGTAAGTCATGGCTAGTGACACCACTCAGATTCCACCACATTCATCTCTTTGAGCGTGAAGACACAATTGGTGACATTTGTCGTGAGGGTAAATTAAAGAAGGCCCCCCTGGATGTTTTGGAAGGCCTATTTTTTTTCTCCTCAAACACTCCAGTTCCCCTAAAGAGGCGAGGAAAGCTTTTGGGGGTTAGGATGAGGACACGACTCTGTGCCGTTACCTCCTTTCCTCCCTCACCCAGTCCATTCCTCAGAGCACGCGCCAGGGCAGATCTTGCTTGAGGATTTCCGCGAGGGTGTTTTTCAGTTGAGATTGCATTTTAGTGAGTAATACCCCTGCCAAAGCTAAACTAAATCTGTGGGAAAAGACAGTATTCTTTCCCAAGCTGCTAATAAAACTGCTCACAACATGCTCAGAGTTCATCAATCAGCTGTGACCCAGCCAGTGGCTCCTGCCTGACACCCATCTCTGCCTGGTGGCAGTTTCCTGAGTTATCAGAAAGCAGACATCATGATTCCTGTGTGCTTCTCCATGAAACGTCTCCCTCTGGAGGGGGTTATGGGGACATTAATCACTATCTCTTAGGGTGACATTGGCTGACCAATTTATTCTGAACTGTCCCCTCAAAACAGGTTCATTTGACTAAAAAAAGTTAAAGCATATTCAATCCAAAACATATTATACTATAGATTTTGTTTTTGTGAAGCTTCAATATAGTTGAAGCTATATCTGAGAAGTGTGCTTGCTACTTTGAGCATATGGGCAACGTAGTTGTGGTTAAATATGGCTGCTTCTCTCACAGAATCAGGGATGGCTTCCCTTTCTCGGGACTAGCCATTTACAGAGGATGACATATATCAGGTTCGTTTCGCCATACCAGAGGTGCTCAGTTTCAAGCTGACTAATACCCTGCCTCCTACCCTTAGCTGCCTGTTTATTTTTAAGAAATATACACCTATTTTTAAATTTTTAAAGTAGAGCTAATAATAAATTCTCATAGAACCCATGCTCATGCATCATCTGAGTTTTAATGTAACTTCTCAGTAAACACTCCAGGATAATTTAGTTGCTTATGAGATCCACCTAGTGTATAGAGTTACTGGGCATAAACTATACTTCAGAACATCTGGCAGCCTCTTTTATTTGAGTAAAACATATAACAAAAATTTGCCATTTGATCATTTTTAAACATACAGTTCAGTAGCATTAAGTGCATTTGCAATGTGTATTCATCACCACTACCTAGTTCCAAAACTAGATCACCCCAAATGGAAACCGCCTACCCATTCATCAGTCAGCTCCTTCCCCTCCCCAGCACTTGACAACCACTTGTCTACTTTCTGTCTCTGGATTTGACTATGGATATTCATGTAAATAGAATCATACAATATGTGGCCTTTTGTGTCTAACTTTCACTTAGCATAGTGTTTCAAGATTCATTCACGTTGTAGCGTATATTTTGTACTTCGTTCCTTTTTATGGCCAAAAAAATACTCCATTGTATGGATAGACCATATTTATTCATTTGTCAATCGGTGGGCATCTGGGTTGTTTCTACCGTTTGGGTTTTGTGAATAGTGCTTCTGGGAACGTTCCTGTACAGGTATTTGTTTGAACATCTGCTTTCAGTTCTTTGAAGTATAGACGAGGAGTGGGATTACTGGGCCGTGTGTTAACTCTGTTTAACTTACTGAGGAACTGCCGAACTCTTCCTCAGCAGCGGCATCATTTGCCATTCCCACCAGCAATGTCTAAGGATTCCAGTATCTGCATCCTCACCTCGTTTTTCTTTTCTTTTAAATAATAGCCATCCTAATGGGTGTGAAGTGTCATCTCATTGTGGTTTTGATTTGCATTTCCTTAGTGACTAACCGTGTTAAGCCTTCTCATGTGCTTGTTGGCTATTTGTATATCTTCTTTGGGGAAATGTTCTATTTACGTCCTTTGCTCATTTTTATGTTTGGGCAACTGGGCTGTCTTTCTCTTGTTGATCGAGTTCATGTTTGTTTGTTCTTAATGGAAATTTTCAAATATGCACTAAAGTCATTAGAATAGTAAAACAACCCTCCTGTACATACCCCTAGCGACAAGTCATCAGCACAGGGTGCTGTCACCACGCCCACCAGGAGGATTCAGAAGCAAACACCAGCCACTTAATGTCACCCCACACTTAGAGCTCACTCCTCCCATTGTGTCATAATCAGTTTGCTTGAATTAAGATCCAAACAGGATTCTCACATGGCATTTGGATAATATGTCTCTTTTAGGTCTCTTTCAGTCCGTAAATTTTCTTTTTTTTTCCTGTCAGTTTCTTTTTGAAGGAACGGGATTGATTGTGCATCCTATAGAGTGACCCACATTTTCAGATTCTGTTGGTTCCTTCCCGATGCTGTTGTCTGTGGTATAAACTGGTAGGCAGAGCTGGAGGGTAGATCTGATTATGTTTTTGGCAGAAACACCTCAGCTGTGGAGTTCTGTCCATTCGCAGCAGGACTGGCTGCCTCTTTCTGTGATGTCACTGCCTCTGATAACGAGGTCAGTAATTCTGGGTAATTCTGTCACTCCTTCATTAAGCTTCCTCTTTACAGGGAAACCCCTTTGTCAGCTGTTCAGCTGCCTTGACTATGGTTTGGTCAGAAAAGTTCTATCAGGCACTTGTTCCTCTCCCTTGATTTTCCAGCACTAAGGTTCACGAGTGGTTTCCAAGCCAGGCTGGGTGTGTCTTTGTAGGTATCACCATAAACTCACCAATGTCACATTTTAGATGTACCACCCCATTGTACTTAACACCTACCTTCAGGTTTTCAAATGGCGAGCCTTCCTCTTGGCTGTGGACTCGGATCACCTGGGGACCTGTAAAGAAAATTCAGCCCTGACTCGCCCACACCACGGCGTGAACGTCTCTGCCGTGGGGCGAGCATAGGAAAACCCCAAAAATCTCTGCAGTGATTCTAGCGCACAGTGAGGATTAAGGGTCTGTATTAGATCAAGAGCAAAGATGTGCAGGGCCTGTCTCCAGAGGCTGCCAGCTGCACCTCAGCCTCCTGCCCTGCCTCCCTTCTTGCTCCCTCTTTACCACGTAAGTACCAACACCTGGGCTCCATGATGAGCCGGGCAAGACTCTCCCTGAAAATGTGCTGCTTCCTCTTCCCCTTTCCTCCCCTTCCCCTTCCCTCCCCTTCCCTTCTCTCCCCTCCCCTGACCTGGAGCAGAGATTGGCCCTGCTTCAGGGAAGAGATGAGCACTGTGGTCCCCAGGGCAGCACCCTTAGATCAGCAGCTAGAGGACCTGGCCAGGTTACCTCGCAGGCACCACTGGCCCCAGGCAGGTGCCTGTTCATCACTCCCAAGGCATCCTGTGTTTAACTGCCACTACCCAGAGATATCAATCAACAGCCTTGATGGTTTTTTGACTGTCTTTCAGACATTGTGTCTTCTCCCACCATACTATGCAGAAAAGGAACCTCACCCACCTGACTCAGGCTCCCAAACTCTGCCCCATAGTATGGGGGGGGGGCGCCGTGATCCAGGGTTTTGTGAGTAACTCACTCTTACCTCATGAGGCTGGGCTGTGATCCCCAGCAGGTTTCATTCTGAGTGCACCGGGTTGCAGCTCAACAGTGTAGTGCCCTTGTGAAGCTGGAGGACCAGTGAGGACCACCTCTGCCTGAGTGTGGACCTGGGGACAGCACTCTGCGTGGCTCAGACAGGCATGAGGAAGTGGATGCTTGCATGTGTCAGCAGAGCGATGAATCAGAGCCCTTGGCTTCTTGCCCTGTGCCCATAAAAGTGGCATTTCCTTAAATAGACCAGAACCTTAATAACTATTTAAAGAGCATGTGGTATTTGGGAATATATTTTATGGCCCTTAATTAAACTTCAAACAAATTAAAACATTTAGAGATCTTTTATGACATATTTTTAATCTTTTTTGTGGAGATTTGTATAATCTCTTGGCTTTCACATCCCACCCTAAGGCCACAGACAGAAGGCAGGGTCAGATCTACAGTTGGGGTTTCCATCCTTGGTCAAAAAGCAGTGAGTGGAAACCACCCAGCCAGTCCCTTGGCGGGGGAAGCTGTCAGGAGTCTTTATGAGGGTAGAAAGGACACCAAATGCACTGTGAAACAGGCCCTGTCTGTTCCCTGTCACATCTCTTAGTCGACATTTCCTGGTTGAAGGACGTGTGCCCTTAGGAGAAAATGGGGCAGAGCTTCTTGTTTGAGTCTGTGCAGAGGCCGTTTTGAAAGTTTGTTCTGGCACATGTCATCTCTCTTGTTTTGTCGACCCTAATCCAAACATGGAATTATCTCTAAAATGACCTGAAAAAACTAAATGCAAAATCTGAATTCCTCAGTAAGAAACTTGCATTATAATTAGTAAGTAATATGTTTTCTATGTCTCTAAGAAGAAAAAAATTAACCTTTTAAAAATAATAGAGAGATTGGCACCGTTGCCCATGAATAGTGAACAATAGAAATTCCTTCCATTAGTGTGCGTTTTCCCCTCTAATAAGTGTGAGTTTTGGCTTTAAGAATAGTTTACTTTAAAGGACGCTGCTGGCCTCCACCAGAAGCTGTTTCTGTAGGAATCAGGACATAAGTGCAGAGTGGAAGGCCCTTGACCCTCCAGCCCCTCCGCTCTTCAGCAAAACATAAATGGCCTTCTCTCAGAGGGAAACCCCTGGAAGATAAGGACTTTCCTTACGCACTGAAAGCGCCACTTTTACAGAATAGAAATGCCGTTTCTAGGCAAGCTCTGTGAAATAAACTTGTAAGAAGGGATATCTGTGAAAGTTGTAACGCCGTTATAGCTCGTCTAATTCCATGCTCTTCTGGCTTCTGAAAATTTGATTTGCGAGGCACGTGCCCAGAGTCCCAGCTACTTGGGCAGCTGAGGCAGGAGGAACCCTTCAGCCCAGGAGTTCAAGCCCAGCCTGGGCAACATAATGAGAGACTCCCTCTCTTTTTTTAAAAAGCACACAGAACTGATTTGTGACTGCTCTTCTCTTTATTCGCCATTGCTCCTAATGCCTCATGGCAACTCATATGTTTCTAACTGCAGGAGATTGGAAGTCCTTGTGGCCTCTCCACATCACTGCTGCATTGACCACTCTCTCCTGTTTTAAATACACTCTTCCTTTGCCTTCCGGTTTTTTCCCCCCAACCCCCCGGCCCTTCCCTGTGTTCCATTAAAAGCTGTTCTTCTCAGCATGGCCATTACTTGTTGGAGTTCTGAGGGGCTGGATCCGAGGCCTCCTTCTTGCTTATGGCCTACTGTGACCATCCCTAGGGGATCCCACACAGGACTCTGATGATGCCGCACTTTCTGTGTCTCTGCACTGCTCTTCTGACTCACGTGTCAGTACCACCAAGCAAGCACCTTTGGTTTTCTCCAAGGTATCTTGAACTTAAGGTGACAAAAACACACCCCTCATCTGCTCAATGCCCACCTTTCTCCAGTGAGCTCTGCCCCTGTGAAGGCCACCACCAGCGTCTGGTTCTGCCCACAGAAGCCAAAGGCCCATCCCGAGCACTGCATGTGCTATCCCTCCTCATAGCCAGTCTGTTGCCGAGTCTAGTCTGCTTTAGCTGCCAAGTATCTCCGGAGCACTCCTTCTCCCACCCACCACTCCAGCCCAACCTGATATGGACCTCTGCAGCCACTGACCAGCTGGCCTCTGACTTTCCTCCCCCTGCTCCTGGCTGTTCTTCTGACCCCAGTCCAGCCACACTTCCCTTTAAACCTCCTTGAGCCCTGGCCCATGTCAAGTCCGCGTGTCAGCCCTGTCCAACAAGATGCCTACCCAGGACACCCCAGGTGAGGACTCATTGAGTGTGCAAATGAGTCCTCAAAAAGAGCAGCCCATCCCCAGGCCCTCTGCCCTTTCCCACAGGCTGTCCCTAGATTTGTGGCCATGGCCATGTCCACCTGTGGATTCCATGCTGGGGCCACAGATTTTAGGGTGTCACTGTGTCTCCTGCTCTCCAAGGTGGAGGTTCTCTGTTACTGTTAGTGGAAGAACACGACTCCAGGCCCTTCATTCTTCTGTTTGTATGCCAATCCCAAGAAGACCTTTGCAGGCCTGCAGAAAACACATCCACACACTGGGCGGCCATGGCCCTCCTGTCAGGATGGAAAGCTCTGCCTCATGGCATCCAAATGGCTTTGAAACAAGTGATTGTAGAGCATGTTTCCTACCATTGTGTTTTGAGTGAGAACTTCCAGCAGTTGGGATTTCAAGCTAGTTTGTTATCTGAGTTCCTCATCCAAACCCTCTTAGAGAGAAGGGGAGAGGGAGGGAAGGAAGGAACCACACACCAGGGCACTGGTATTGCTCCATGTGCAGCAACACACGGAGCGGTGGAGGCAGGTGGACGTTTGCAGGTCACATGAATATGATAAGGGTCAGCAGAATTGTGGCCACTGCCCAAGAGCAAGGCTCCAGGAAGGAGCAGCCTAGGGACATTCTCAGTGATTCTGTTGCGTATTGGTGTTCTGGTTTGGACTCATGCCATCTGCAACACAGCAGCTATCTCCTCTAAAGTAAGCAAACTAAACCCTAAAAATACCTTACAGGCCGGGCACGGTGGCTCTTGCCTGTAATCCCAACGTTTTGGGAGGCCGAGGCAGGCAGATCACCTGAGGTCAGGAGTTTGAGACCAGCCTGACCAAATGGTGAAACCTCATCTCTACTAAAAATACAAAAATTAGCCGGGCATGGTGGTGGGCGCCTGTAATCCCAGCTACTCAGGAGGCTGAAGCAGAGAATTGCTTAAATCCGGGAGGCGGAGCTTGCATTGAGCCGAGATCGCGCCACAGCACTCCAGCCTGGGCAACAGTGCGAGACTCTGTCTCAAAAAAAAAAAAAAAAAAAAAAAAAAAAGAATACCTTACATGTGTAAAGCACATCACAGTTTCAGAAAGGGTTGAGGACTCATCATCTTGTGTGGGCTGGGATTTGCACACCCGCCTCATTGAAGTCCAAGAGAGCCAGGGTGGTGTGCCCAGGAAGTGTCAAACCTGGCTCAAACCCCTGCCCCCAAGTTTCATACTAGTGGTGATGAGTTGTTTTTATCCAAGACATAAAAGCTTTAGCTTTTTTCCTCAATTGCCAAGAAGATCCAGGGTGACTTCAGCCTTCCTGGGAAGGTAGGGATCACAAGTTCCAGGGGCCACCAATCCGCAGGCAGATTCACCTGCCTGTACCTGTTGCCACCTTAGAAAGCAACAGAAAGTTTAGTTCCAGACCTCATGCGGATGGAGACAGCACCAGGCTGCTCCCAGGCTCTTCTGCGGAGTCCAGGCATGGAGCAGAGGCATGAGGGACAGATGGCAAGAGGCAGGTCTGGGGGCCGCCTGCAGACACTTGATGAGGGCCCCAGGATCAGGGGAGGAGTGCTAAGCAGGCAGTAGGGAAGGCAGAGCAGGAACCCTTGCCTCAAGCATCCTGTGAGCAGTACCTCACTGTCATTCTCACAGTCATCCAGAGCAGTCTGGAAGGAGGCTGAGGCTCCGAGAGGCCAAGCACAGAGCTGGTCTGTGGGATCATTCGTCTCTCCCTGTGCTCCCCTGGCAGCCCGGAGCCCACTGTGGTCTGGGTTTGGGAATAGCTGGCGGGTTGTATGAGTGGTGGCGGGTTGTATGAGTGGTGGCGGCTGGCAGGTAGGGATTGGAGGAGGCCTCACTGGGTGCTGTTCCCACCTGCGGAACAAGGGTCTTGACTGGCTGAGGAAGGGAGAAGCCATTTCTCTGGTGATTCCATGCGATTTTCTGTTGTTTCATGTGATTCCTCTCCAAGATACTGATCCTGTCATAATATTAACAGGCCGTGGTAGCCATGTGGAGGGGAGCTCCCTGCCTTCCTGCCTGGCGTTCTTGCACCGTGCCTTCCGAAAACCCAGCTTCGTTGTTCTTAGATTTAGTCAATATGACTTCATTAGCAGTTAGGCTTTTCAGCCTGGAACATTTCAAACCACGCAACAGCCAGTGATGTTGGGAGCAGAGGGTTGCAGGCTTCTTCCTCACTTCCCTGGAGGAACCCGTTTTTTAGAGCCTGGCTCATTCTCCCCACATGATCTCTTTGGATGCGGGAGGAGGCAGAGCGGCCAGCAGGCGCTCAGGCTTCACTTGGACTCCCTACTTTCTGGCTTCCAGCTTATCACGTAGGGTGCCTTGGAGCCATGTGGAGCAGCCTGGCCTGGCTGCCCTCCAGCCCACCAAGGGTTAAGGGAGGTGGGGCCCCCAGCCAGCCTTCTTTTTGGGCTTTAGTTGTATTGATAGGAAATTTCTGTTGTCAGGTACTCAAACGTGAACTTCCTCAGCCTGGAACTGAAGGAGCCATTGTTTTCCTCCGACTCAGGTCACTGTGGCATGCTTTGTAAATGAAGCCTCTCTTCCCAGAGGTTCCAGGTGGGGCAGGGGTGCTGAAGCGGCAGCTTCTTCCCCGGCGTGGTGTTGGGTTTATCTTGAGGAAGTGGAGGGGGAAGGCTGGGGTTCCCACAGCCAGGCGGATGGGACACAGGAGCCTCTGCCTCCAGGCGCTGTGAGGCAGTGAGGCCAGGCACGTCCGCGACCCTGCCAGAGCTGCCTGCATTTCAGGGAGCAGAAGGGGCGGCTGCGGCAGGAAGTGAAGATTTGTTTTCCTCCAGAAGTGAATGTGACCTCTGAGGGCCAGGCGCTGCCATTGGCCTCGCACAGAGCTCCAC